ATACCGGGCGTGGGGACACACACACCGGAGATCCTCACTTAGTTTGGCCCATCGATCGAGGCGGGGAACCGGGGGCGGCCGCTAGGCAGAGCCTAACTCCGGGGAGCCGCAAGTGAGAGTTGGATGTTAGCTTTGGATGCTAGGCGCAGCCACCACCCGCACGAGGAAGATGTTGCGATCTGCCACGACCTTCACGTTGACCCCTAACTGAACACCCCATACCCTCCACATACAAACATACATACCGTTAACATTAAAAATGCGCTGCTTTAAAATAGGGAGTTACATATCGGCACGTCAACTTGCTTTTTTCTTGCACACAGATTGACATGGAAGACATCAAGAATGCCTATCTGACTCGATACAACGAGTCTCTGGAGGATGCTATCAAGGATGACACGTCTGGAGATTACGAAAAGCTACTCCTGGCCCTAATTGGGTGTTAGTATCTCATTCGTCTAGCTTTTTTCTGATTATATTCCCAAAGAGGATATTCGTTTTTTCCAAATTTCAATAAAGACTCTCGGAGCTCCATTCACTGTGCTTTTTGCAGTTAGTCTATACTTTCAAAAGAAATTTGGGGAGATAGACCTCAAGCAACTTTTCATCTGAAGGGCCTTGTTCTATTTGTGTTACTTAATGATATGCACACGCATACCTTTAGAAATAAGTTTAGTTTTTGGACAAACATACTCAAAGCTGCGGATGGAATGTGAGTAGAAGTCGATCATAGACGTGGCGTTTATAATTTGCACTGGAGCGCAAACAGTGAGTAGCAGTTGGGCGAGTACAATGATAGTTGGGCGCATAATCGAGGGGAGAAGGACGTACCCTTCTGTTAATCCCAGTATGCGTGGCTTCCTGTGTGATCAGACTAAGTCCGTTGTAATAGAGGCCCGATAAAACCCAATTAACTGTCTTCAAAGTCGATTTCTGGAGTGATAGACCTTTGGATGATTGTTTTTCTAACTCCAACCGACATCCAAATTTACCGAATATTTTACAGGGCTGAATTCAGTAGACTCACACTTACCGATAACGAAGTGGTTACGATCGAACAGATGGAGAGGATGGACGTGGACATTTATGAAGTAATCTTCGGCAAAGAAGCCGCTTAGTTCCTCGTTTAGCACGGCACTTCGCTGACCCCTAGGTGTCTGACGAGTAGATAAGCTCCCCGTTAAAGGTCTGATATCGAGCCAACCGCGTCCTTCGATGGTATAGGAGGACTGACTGCATAGCGAACAACAGGGTTGGGCCAACAGAGAAGGACTTTTGCTTTTTGGTTGCTTGGACGACCGAAATTATACCGAATAACAACGCATTTCTCCGTTTACGTAACATCTTCATGTCAGTAGTTATAGTTTGCGGTTGGACTTAATTGACAGAAAACGCCTAGAGTAAAATATATAGCGACATTCGAACGCCATAACATAGCGCCACTGTTTCTTGGTGTATAAAGACGTTTTTAATATATTCATATTTAATTGGCAGACTTTATCAAAGAGGACTGGCAGCAGTGCTAACAAAGGAGAGTTGGTTTATCACATACATATGTAACCCCACCGACTAAGTATGGAATGTAGATTGCTGGAGGGGACTTTTTCGAAATACTTGTGTGTTTTCGCCACTGATAAGTGATGACAAAGTGCACAAAAATAAACAAAATTGACGTGTTTTGCCATTTAGTGCGCACGGAAAGGCTTTCCAAATATATTTTGCTACGCTGCACTGTAAACCGATTAGGGATTCTCAAATACGACAATAAGAGGAAGACTTAATACATCCGAAATCTGCCGTAGGAAAAATGAAACGTCCTCTGCGAACCTTGACCTTGAGCCCGACTGGACACAACCTTAATTTCTGCTCTCCAA